ACGTGAGTTCAATGAGTGGATAATGTCATTCGTGGTCGAACTTATCGAGTAGACTACATGAGTCATAGTCGTCATGGCGAGCATGCAAGTGGCCCTCTGTGGGCCGCATATTTCAAATTCCTCAGGTTTTCCGGGTAATTTGTTGGGGTTATCTTGTCCAAGGGTTAGAGTGACGTCATGAAATTATGTGTCATGATGACACATGTTCCCGATACGTTGCTTCGATTCACGTGTGACCCTTGATTGGATCTGCCGTTTTGATTTTGGTGCCAATTATGACGAGCCATTTCGGGTTTAGTGCCATGATTTATATAAATAAAGGTTCTTGGACTAAATTTGAAATTTTGTTCTTCTAACTTTTTGAAACACCAACCTTCTTCTCTGCATCTTTTTTCAATGATCTCCTTTCCCTATTTCATTGCTCTATATCATCCCCCAATCTCTCCCTTTATTCTTCTTCTTCATCATCTTGAATCCTGTCAAACTTGCCCTCAGATGCTGGTGAAGGGAATCACATTGCTCCTTTGGTAGTTGTGCTTCCCTCCCATGGGAGAGTTTTTCCGCCATTGTTAAGGATGAAGCTTTCCCGTCGGTGGAGGAGATAATCCCCCGTAACCCCGACGCCAGGTCTGATCTCACTTGATCACTGAACGCTGCACCCGGGCTTTTTATATCGACGATGACGTCCAAAGAATTGGCGGAATTCAAAGCCAAGTTTGGTCTTCCAAATCACGTCGAATTGATCCCGACCGAAGGGGGCGTGGCGCAGGTTTATCGCCTGGGATACTGCGCTCTATACGCCTAACCCTTCCTCGTCGGTTATTCGTTCCCCCTTCTTCCGTTGGTGGAAGAATTTTGTCATCACTACGGCGTCTACCCTGATCAGCTTGCATTGTACATCTACAAGATTATCAGAATGCTGACTAAATTTGCCAAGCTGGCCAGGGTCGAACTAACTTTGTGGCATTTGGTGCATTTATTCGCCCCTATCTTTCATAAGGAAACGATGTTGAAGCTTCGCCACCAAGGAGGAAAATGCTTGGTGGTGAAGATGGACGACAAGGCCAGTCGTCAGTTCTGGCTCAACTTCTTCTAAGTCAGAACTAAGGACGTTGTGGCTAACGTCGATGGCTTTTCTGAGGCTTGGAACTACACACGTAAGTGCCCTATTTCTATCTTTATTATTTTTCTTGCTCTGAGTTAGTTGAAGGATTTTCCTTTTCTTGCAACCCACAACTAGCCTCCCCTTTTAGTCACGCACATTTTCGATTAGGTCGAGCATGTCCTCCCCCATGTCATAGGAATCCATGATTGGCCGAGCTTCTTCAAGAAATTCATACCAGATCTTTCTTTGACAGGTAACTTCTTCTCTTAGGCCGTGGTCATTTCACTTTCTGTTGTATGTCAATTTGTTTTACTAACTCTAACGTTTGTCTTTTTCCCAGGCAAGAGGTCTTCTTGGAGGAGCCGTGCGCTGGTGCCCTCTTTCGGAGGAAGGCTGTTGTGCCTTCGTCTTCTGCCCCTGTTAAGACTACTATGCCTTTCGTACTTGCCCCTGCCTTGGCTACCGCAGTCCAAGAGCCTATCTCCTTTCCATCTGCTGCTTCTGCTCCTCAAAACTTTTCTCTAGTTGACGAGGATGACGATGTCTTCCCTGATAGCGATAGGAGAAAGGCCAATAGTCATTGACTTAGAGGAGGGTGACTTCGTTCTTCGAGAGGCGGCTGTAGTACATGTTAGAGAGAGCGGTGGGATAGATTCCGAGTCCCCACATCTGGAGGAGATGAATGTGGATGCACCAGTGTGTCCCGAGGGGGAGACGGTCAAAGGGGGGTGCTTGACGACGGCATTACACTTCCGAGGCAGGAGGAAGCATCGTCCTCTTGGGATGCAGTAGATGTCTCTTCGTCTACCAGAGATAGAGGGAAGATCGTTGCAGAGGAGGACGCTAGATCTGATTCTGATATGGATCTATACGAGTTGAGGATGATTGATAAGGGGCTCACTTGGATTGAGGTGAGGTCGGAGAGGGGCTCTAGGACCATTACGATCCCTATGGATCGTAATCTGCTTGTAAATACCGAGAAGGTAATCCCTGCCCTCAGTCCTCTCTGTTCTGAGGTCGAGGGCACACTCCTCGAGAAGATAAACAACGATACCTTGTCGAATAACATTGTTGGTCTCACTCTCAGGGTAAGTACGGCTGTCGTTCGTTCCTTTCCTTATGCCTTAGTTTCTTTGCAAGTTCTAACCTCTTTTCCTTGTTTTGTAGATGGTTATTCTAGAGATTGATAGTGCTCTATGGGAGAAGAGGCGTAAAGAAATTTATATGAAGCTGAAAGATAAGTATACAACGTGCCTTAGAAAGTATCGGGAGATCCAGGGTCAATTTCGCAAAGGAGGCAGCGTACTGGCTTTGAGGGAGAATTTAAAGAAAAAAGACGAAGAGCTAATGGAGGCTGTGGAGAATTTCAGCGTTCTTAAGGGGACGTTAAGTGCTAAGGATGAGGAGCTGGAACTTAGCAAAGGCGTGAAGTCCCAATGTAGCGACCTTCAAGCTCAAGTAGCCCAGATGCAAGGCCATTTATACTAGTGCAATTCCAGATGGAGGCCCTTAAGGGTGAGATCATCGAGATGCAGCAGGAGCTTTTAAAGGCAGAGTCTTCTTGGTCGGAGGCTCGGGGGAGGGTGGAGTTCCTTGAGTTGGCGAACCAAAACCTTCGTTCCGAGCGTGAGAATAGCCCGTCAACGGCAAGGGCTAAGGAGGACCGGCTTGAGGAGGGAATCGGGGAGTTGGAAAAGGAAACCTCCAATTTTTATGATCGAGTTGCTGCTTTGGAGGCCAAGAAGGACCAACTACTTGTGAGACCTTCTTCATCTAATGCTTATGGCATCTCCAATGTCCCATGTGAGTTGTATGAAGAATGGATTCATGTCGAGGCCCGACTAGATGTGTTTCGTGAGTTGCATGCGATGGGCTCCATTTCTGGGGCAGCCTTTGAGGATGCTCGTGTCAAGGCTTGCGAGGCTCGGCTTGCTTGTGGCTATGACCCTGTTACGCCTCGACCTGGCAAAGAGGATGAGAATGGGGAGGATGCTATGTATCATCTTGAGAAGGAGGCCTGGTACGATTTTATTTACCCTCATGGCGAGGATGGAGAGGATGTTGGAGGCCGGGACGGTGATGGTATCGATGGTCAGGGTGGTGATGTTGCTAGAGGTCGGGCTGATGAGGACGTTGTGGGTCGTGATGGCGATGGCCAGTAGTTCTTTTTTGACATTTTGTGTGTGTTTTGGTTTGGCGTCATCAAGAGCCTTTGTAACAAACTTTTGTCTATGAATATCAAAGTTGATTTTTGCTTTAACTTGTGCCTTTCTTATTTGCCGTGATTTGTTTCTGTACTTGCATGTTTTTCTCCTTTATATTTTTTTGTTGTCTTCCTCTAGCTCGTCGTAGTCCTTGGGCTGAATAGCCATAGACCGAATCATCTTTTTGTCTATATAGATCGAGTATGTCTCCTTAGTTGAGGATCGATAGGTTAAGTTTGAACTTGTTCGGACTTATCCTTTTGTTTGGTTGAATTTAACCTTCTATCGGGACGTGGCCGAGGACCGGTAGGTGTTGTTCGAGCTTGGTCAAACTTAACCTTTTGTTAAGTCGCGGCCGAGGGCCGGTGGGTGTTATTCAAGCTTGATTGAATCTTGACCTTTTGATAAGTCGTGACCGAGGGCCGGTAGGTGTATGTTCGAGCGTGGTCGAACTTAACCGTTTGCTAAATTACGGTCGAGGGCTGGTAGGTTAACTTCGAGCGTGGCCAAACTTAACCTTTTGTTAAATCGCGATCGAGGGCCGGTAAGTGTATGTTCGAGCTTGGTTGAACTTAACCGTTCGCTAAATCGCGGCGAGGGTTGGTAGGTTAAGTTCGAGCTTGGCCGAACATAACCTTTTGTTAAATCGCGGTCGAGGGGCAGTAGGTGTATGTTCGAGCGTGGTCAAACTTAATCTTTTGTTACATCGCGGCCGAGGGCCAGTAGGTGTTGTTTGAGCTTGGTCGAACTTAACCTTTTGTTAAGGAAGTTCTAATAAATGTAAGTTTTTATTACTTTGACATTGTTGTTCTGATTACATAATTAGAGAAAGTTATAAACTTCGAGCATTGGCTGACATTCCAGTCCCAGTCTCGGTCTATCTAGTCTCTTCATTGTTCGACTTTGAGAGTATTGAGGAGTCGGGAAATGAAAGAGAAACCAGTCTGTTCTTCACATACTTAAACTAAAAGTGTCTTTTTTGTTGCCTCATTAAAAACATCCTTGAAAAAAAACCTAACGGGACAAAATTCATGTTAGGGAAAAAGAGTACGACTTGGGGGGCGCTTTTTCCTGTTAGAAGTTAAAGTATTTCAGGTGGCTGATGTTCCAATTGTTACGTAATTGTTTTCCTTCCATTGTCTCTAGTTGGAATGAACCCTTGTTTGCTTTGGCTATAATTTTGTAAGGACCGTCTAGTTTGTTCCCAGTTTGCCTTCTCGTGGATCCCTGCTTGCTTGGGTTTGGCTTTGAGTACCTGGTCTCTAACTTTGAGCGGCCGGACCTTTGCCTTCTTGTTGTAGTAATGTTCCGCTTGCTGCTTTTGGGTGACCATTCTTATGTATGTCATGTCTCTTCGTTCGTCGATCTCATCGAGCTCTTGCCTTCTACTCTCGTCATTGCTAGTGATGCTTTTATGGGAATAACTTAGGCTGGGTTCTCTGACCTCGACTGGTATAACTGCTTCGGTACCTTAGACTAGGGAATATGGCATCTCTCATGTGTTTGTCTTTGGGATGGTTCTATATGCCTACAATACTTATGGGAGTATTTTCGGCCACAGTCCCTTGGAGTCTTCAAGTTTTTTCTTCATGATGTTTAATATAGACTCGTTGGAGGATTCTGCCTGCCCGTTACCCGTTGGGTGATAAGGGGTTGAAAGTATCCTCTTAATATGCCATTTCTCGAAGAATTCAACGGTTTTCTTTCCCGTGAACTGGGTTCGTTGCCGCAGCTGATCTCTTTGGGTAGGCTGAATCGGCACATGATGTTTTACCAGATGAAGATGATTACCTCTTGTCCGCGTATTTGGGCAAACGCTCCTGCTTCCACCCATTTAGAGAAATAGAAGTTAAAACTAAAAGAAATCATACATTACCTCGCCCTGCTGGGAGGGGGCCCACGATTTCCATTCCCCACTTGATGAACGGCCATGGAGAGGTGACTGAGTGAAGATGTTCGCCTGCTTGGTGAATTATTAGGGCGTATTTCTGACATTGTTTGCATTTCTTCACAAATTCTGAAGCATCTTTTTTCATGGTGGGCCAGTAATCTCCTGCTCGTATGAGACACCTAACGAGCACTCGATCGCCGGAATGAGTGCCGCAATGGCCTTCATGGACTTCTTCGAGAACGCGCTGGGTTTGGTTTGGACCCAAACACTTCACTAGAGGGCCGCCGTATGTTCTCTTGTATAAGTCGTTATGAAGGTGGTAGCTGCCTGCATTCTCAGTTTTTTGGCTTCCTTTTTGTTGTTTGGAAGTGTGCCAACCTGCAAGTAGGTGATAATATAATTGGGCCAGTCCCAAGTTAAACTTACGGATCTTACCTCGATTTCGTCTAACTACGAGTTGAGGAGGTGGACTATACTTTTATCCCCGGTTGTGATGTTTTTGGTGGCTGCGACCCATTTAGCGAGGCCGTATGCTTTGACATTCTAGGCACGCGGGATCTGGTCGAGCTGATATTCATTGAACTCGGGCAGCAGCTTACAGATCTCAGTTTGATATTTTTGGAGCCTTTGTTCTTTGATTGGAAAGTCCCTATGACTTGGTTGACTACGAGCTCAGAATCACATTAGAGTTTCAACCGCTTCGCCCTAGATTTGAGTGCTAGTCTCAACCCTATAATTACGGCCTCATACTCTGCCTCATTGTTAGTCATATCTGGGCATATTAAGGACTAGCGAATCACTTCGTCGGTGGGGACCTCGAATACGAGTCCCAGTATGGATCCAGAAGTGTTGGATGCGCCGTCGGTGTATAGGACCCAGAGGTCTTGTGTTCGAAGATAAGCTTGAGCAGCTTCCTTATCAACCTCAGGCATTATCTTTACGCTGAAGTCTACGATGAAGTTAGTGAACACTTGCGATTTTATCGTTGTTTGAGGCTGATATGTGATATCGTGCTCGCTTAGCTCGATGTCCCACTTGGCCAGCCTCCCTGACAATTTGGTTTTATGTAGAATTCTTCTTAAAGGAAAGGTGGTAACTACCGAGATAGGGTGGCATTGAAAATAGGGTCTAAGCTTTCGTGAAGCTACGACCAGTGCTAGGGCCAGTTTCTCGAGGTGTAGGTACCTCGTCTCGGTGTCGACAAGTGTTTTACTAATGTAATAAATGGGAGATTGCGTACCTTTACTTTCTCGAACTAGGACTGCTCTTGCTGCTGCTTTGGGGACGGCGAGGTAGACGAGGACGTGTTCCCCGAGTTCGGTCTTCAAGAGTAGAGGTGGTGACGACAGATACGCCTTTAGTTCTCGCAGAACTTGTACGCAATCGAGCGTACACTGAAGAATCTGTGACATCTATCAGATGACCGCGAGATAAATCTTGATAGGGCGGCGATTCGACCAGTCAAACTTTGGACCTACTTCTTAATAGTCAGTTGCTCAGGTATCCCTTCAATAGATTTGATTTGGTCTGGTTTGACTTCGATCCCTCGTTGTGACACTAAGAAACCCAAAAACTTCCCTGAGGCTACGCCAAAATGCGCATTTCTCTAGGTCATCATAATTTTCTAGGACTTTGGCATAATAAGCATTATGGATTTCGTCCCAAGTGGTTGGTGGGTACTTCATCAACCGGCTCAGCAATTTTATGGTTACTCTTGAACCCTCTCTACTCAACCCGTTCGGAAAGGCTGTGACTGCCATCCCTTCTAACACATTTGGTAAGGTCATCCTTACGCTGTTGAATTGGGTGAGGAAGTCCCTCAGTGCCTCTCTTGGGGACTTCTTGATGGAGAGGATGTCGTTTACTCTCGTTTCGGCTTTCGTGGCCCCGGCATGCGCCGCCAGGAACTTATCAACCATTTCTTTAAAAGTTTCTATGGAGCGAGATGGCAGTTGTGAATACTATGTTAATTCCCCTCCCGTGAGGGTTTTGCCAAATTTCTTCAGCAAAATAGAGGACACCTGTTCCTTGGTGAGATTGTTCCCTTCACGGAGGTGACGTAATGAGTCACGTGATTTTTGGGGTCGGTTGTTCTGTCATATATCCTGAGATATGGTGGCATTTTGAAGGTCTTTTGTATGGCATTGGGCTGCTTCCTCGCTATACGGATGCTCTACGAACCTGTCGGTGTCCCTCTTTGGCAGTAGCTTAGAGGTGCCCGGTATCTTGTCGACTCGTTCTTGGTGTTCTTTCATTTGATCACTGAGTGTTTTGTTCTCACTCTTCACTTCTTCCATTCTCTTCAGAACAGCAGCGAGGACGACGTCACCTGCATTGTAAGTAACATTGTGAGTTATACCTGGCATCGGAGGGTCTGGTTGATCGCCCTATTTGTCTCCTCGTTGTACTGTATGAGCTATTACGGTCTCTATGGTCGTGCACGGAGTTTGATCGTTGAGTACACTTGCTTATGTGTTGGTCAACCATGCTTCGAGGAGCTTTTTCATGGCCGGTGGCGTCCCTTCTCCTATAGACGCGGAGGCCCCTTTTTCATTTGGTTTTGTTGTGCTACAACGGGAAGGAGGCGAGCTCTCACGCCTGGGGGAGGCAGTAGGTGTCACGTCATCTCCTTGCGTTTCATAGTTCTCGTTGATAGCGTTCATGAGGTTGCCAGGGATGTCACCTGTTACTTTAGTCCTATCTTCTTGGTTACCTGCCATGTAAATTTCCGTACGTGCAGAGAAAGAGAAAAACCTTGTGGTTTGTTATGTTAGCAAACCCACGTGAGTTGTAGATCTAAAGGAAACTAAAAGAGTAGCTAATAAGTCCCCACAGACGGGTCCAAACTGTTTGACCTAAAACTTAGATTCGGGTTCCACCAATTAGATATCAATAAAATAGAGTCAATCTTAGCCAATATTAATATCCAAAAGATATGTTAACCGATTTTATAGTAAGAAAATATGTGTGTTTGACCGAATGTCAATAAATGTGGACAATACTATCAATATTTGATGAGTCAGAAGGAAGAGGATAGCATTAAATAATAATAAATAGTAATGAATGGCATTCAAGTAAATAAGAACATATGAGTCACCCGAAAAGAGGTGAGATCTGTGGATATTCCTTCTGACAATGATGAATGATTGATGAGCCTTCAAATATTCAGGTTGTTCTTATATCAAGTGGAAAAGCTAGGCAAGAATCTTAGTAAAAAGATATTTTTCGTGTGTTTGCGATAAAGCCAGATTCTCTATGTAAAGTCAATGTATTTTCTTCCAAGTGAATATCTTTTATCTCTTCTCCTTGTGTCTCTTTCTATTTATAGGGAACATATACCTAAAAAACCCTAATAGTACAGGTACAGAGAATATCCACTAGAATATTCTCATTTGATGTCTTATCCTAAAATTAGCCGTTATTCATTTTATTTACGGTGAGTGCTCGAGCTCGACCTTGATCTTTGCTGACTCTTCGAACTTGATTGTCAATAGCTTCATCGGCTCTGGTCTTCACTTCTTAAGAGACCACTTCGACCTTGGGCTGGCCTTTATCGAAGTCGTACTGTCGGCACATGTCAGTCCACTAGTGCCTCCTTAATGCTAACACAGTTTGATCATGTCAAAGGTAATTTTTGATCCATACGACATTCGATGTCTTATGTGATAAGAATGTGCCACTCAAACTTAAATATAAATTCTACAAAGTGGTGGTTAGACCAACTATGTTGTACGGGGAAAAGTGTTGGCTAGTCAAGAACTCTAATGTCCAGGAGATGAAAGTAGCTGAAATGAGGATGTTGAGATGGATGTGCGAGCATACCGGATTAGATAAAATTAGGAATGAAGATATTCGGAAAAAGGTGAGAGTGTGCCCGTGGAGGTTAAGATGCAGGAGGCAAAGTTGAGATAGTTCGGGCATATGAAGAGCAGAAGCATAGATGCCACCGTTAGGGGGTGTGAGAGATTGACCTTGGTTGGTATGAGGAGAGGTAGAGGTAGGCCAAAGAAGTATTGAGGAAAGGTGATTAGACAGGACATGGACTATCTTAAGCTTACCGAGGACATGACCCTTGATAGGAGGGTGTGGAGGTTAAGAATTATGGTTGAAGGTTAATAGGTAGCCAAGCATTCTATTTTTTCTTTCCCGTACGGTAGTTTTAGTATTGGTATTGTATAGTTTTACTCTTAGACTGTTATTACTACCTACTACTTGATTGTCATCTTTCGCTTCGATTTTCTTAATATCTTATTGTTGTTACTGCTTGTTGCCACTGTTTATTTTTATCTTTTTTTTAGCCGAAGGTCTATTAGAAATAACGTCTCTGCCCTCCCAGGATAGGGGTAAGGTTCACGTACACACTACGCTCCCCATACTCCACTTGTGAGAATTCAATGGTGTTCGGATTCAATTGCACACACTTCAATTAATTTATTGAATATATTTTACTATCTCGCACAAGTAATAAATAATTATATCCATCATAATTTAGAGAGAAGTAAAAAGATCACTTCGTTCTTTTTTGTATATGTTAAGGTTTGAAGTCTAGAGGATTCGTCCAGAAGACCGAGAGTTATACACATTTGATACCAATACGAGCTAAAACCACACCTAAATGAAAGAGAAAGTATAGATACTAGATGTAACTATTCTATACTAGTTTGCCTGATTTATAGATCAGAACCACGAGATGAAAAACTCAATTATGCACTGCTTTTGAGTGTTGGACTTATCCACCAAAGGCATGCCTCAAAGAAGCCCAATTCTGAGCATGAGACCGGAAAAGCTGACAAGCCCAAATGAATATCATGGACGAGTGAAAATAGCACGGGCTAGCCAGTTTTCGGACTGGTAATTGAAAAATCGCTAACGTTTGCAAAGTCATTGAAAAATAGTCACTACTTTGCTACAACTCAGAAAGTTCCAACATAATATACTGGAGATTGGTGCACTTGTGTATGAACTTACAGCATATTATGCTAGAACCCCAACACACGGAAAGTTCCAGCATAATATACTTGAGATTGGAGCACCTGTGTATGAACTTCCAGCATATTATGCTGCACCAGTAATAGTATATTATGTTGGAACTCCAGTATATTATATTGGAATTCCAGTATATTACGCTGGAAGTCCAGTATATTATGTTGCAAGTCCAGTATATTATACTGGAACTTCAATATATTATGATGGAATATTTTTTGAATTTTGAAAAGTGTTCTCGTTCAGATTTATCTTACATGAAAAGTGACTAAATTCCGATTACTTTTGAAACTGTGGCTATTTTTCAATTACCACTTGTAAATCTGGCTATTTTTGAATTTCAGCAAAATTGATGACCATGTTCAAGTAAATCTTTTCACCTATGTATACTATATATGAAACTTATTTGTCCTCCTTAGTCAAATTTTAACTTAATTACATGATCATATACAATTTATCAATTATATATAAATAGTTTTAAATGTGCCTCCCTTGATTTTAGCCCATTAATTTAGTAAATTCCCCATCACGGTATTTTTTTTCCTCTTCTTCTCTTTGAAATGAACCCTCTTTCTACAAGATTTTTTCTTCTAAAGCTCACAATTTTATCTAACAATGACGAAGAAAGGGATTAATTTTTTATATCGATCTGAATTTTTCTATGGCTGGACTTTTGATCTTTTTTGGGCTTCCCCTTTTCTTGTTGGCATTCGGATGGCGAGCTAGCAGCAAATGGATATTAATCAATAAATTTTAAAGGTGCTTGACTCTCCACCATTGACAACCATTAAAAAACTTCGAAGCCTTGATTTCGAATTCAGATTCTTCAAAAAATATTATTTGTTTGGATTGGGTGTTATTGCATTGGGAATATTCTATGGAGTTTATATCTCGCTTTTGAGGGTATTTGGTGAAGATTAGATTTATTTCGCTGGATTTTCAGATTGAAATTCGAAGAAGAAGCAGCAGAACACACCACATACAAAATATATATAAATTATATACAAAATATATACGAAAGACATATTGTTAAATTTATATGAAAAATATATTTTAAGTTGTATGATGTTGTAGTTGTATTTAACTGGGTAAGAATGATGCATGAAAGTTGTAGATAAGTTGTATACTATATAATCGGTTGTATAAAATTTATTTTTAGTATGTATGTTGTTGTAGATATATCAAATTTTGTATTAAATTTGTATGAAATTTATTTTTAACTAATATCCTGTTGTTCCATACAGTATTCTTTTCTTAAAATAGGTAATTATGGCAAAGAGATAGAAGAGTTGCGCTAATTATGGCTTAAAATAGGTAACACATAGCTGGAAGGAGTGTTATTTAGATGGAAAGACAATTTGGACTACGTTACCTTCAGTTACGCACTTTTCCAAGCAAAGATCCATAATTTAAGGCACTAATAATGCAT